TAATGATAAATAAACCGGCTAGAGCAATAGAGTCCAATATTGAACAAAACAAAACAAAGAAAATAATAAATCTATATCTAACCTTATGATCGCCTACGCATACATCATATCCCATTATATCATATATTGGTGGGTTGGCCTGTAGATATGATATAGAAAATTATCAAAAAATAAAAAATAATTTAATAAATTTAACCTGAGTATCAACAAAATTTTTTAATGAATGACTAAGAAGAATACGATCACACCATGCTGGACAACGAGCACGTAAATAAGAACGAGCTTCATGCTGTTCTTCACTATATGGATAACTAAAATAAAAGAGATTTGTAAGAAATAAAAAGATATTCAAATATAAACCTCGGTGGAAACGTTCTTTCATATTCAAATATATGATCATGAAATGATGAAGATTCAAAATCGAACTTACGAGCCTAAAAATAAATAAAATCATAAAGATTTTCGATTAAAGTGTATCGGATCTCGACATAAAAAAAGATTATATTGATATTATTCGATGAATGTAAAGAAATAAAGACTTTGCTTATTTTTGTCTATTTTGAGAGAACTCATATGGATTAAGCAAAAAGTATCATTGACTTCGGATCGAGTCAAGTTACTAAAAAAATTTTTCCATTTTGACTTGATTCTCAAGAACTCGGATAATAATTACCAGCTGTGTATTTATATGAAAAAATGAATCATGATTATCATGAAGATTAAATTCTTTTTTTTGTATTGTTAATTTTGGTTTATTATTTTCATGTTTTATAATCATTTTTGTAATTTCATCACTATTTTCTTCTTTAATTTTATCAATTAAATCATGTCTTTTCTCCGAAATGTACTATTTAATAAATAAAAATAAATAAATATATAGAAAAAAAAAAATTTTTAAATTATTAAATTCCATTTAATTTACTTCAACTAAACGACAAGCATCAAGTCGAAAATTAAAATCACCAAACATAACATATGGTACATTTTTGTCAGAAGGATTAAGTGATAACCTATTTAAAAAAAGTATATCTAATTATAAATAAATAAATAAATAAATTCATATTCAAACCTTTGTAGAGTATATTGCAAAGCACTTCTACGAAATTTACTGTATATAGATGGACTTCGTTCTATTGCTAAAAGATTTGATGCGTCATGAAATAGATGTACATTAACTAAGTCAAAAGTACTAGTATTAAAAATGAATAAAAATTATTAGTAGAAAATTTTCTTTTTTAAATATTTACAAGCCATTTATCAGCCAACGAGTTTGCGTAAAACCTTTTCGAGACCATTTCGTCTAAAAATATTTTCATTATGAAATAAAAAATATGAATTTTGCCTATTTGTTTTTTTTTCTCTACTTCAGGAAAAAAATCTCTAGGATATTTTTCTCTTCGTAATGTTTGAGCATTGACCAGACTACCAGCAAAAATCTGACGATTAACAACAGCTTGAAAAGATGAAGCTAAAAAATAAAAATAAATAAATAAATAAAAAATTAATTATCTTTAGTTTGGTTTTTTTTTGTCAATACTTGTAAAATTCCATTGTTGAACAGAAAGATTTTGACGAATAAAATATGCAGAACCAAGAGCCTAAAAAATAAAATCAGATTTAAAAATAAAAATAATGAAAATCTATTAATTAACTGTAAATGTATCCTGAGATGTATAATCCGAATCAAAATATAAACGATAACGAGTAAAATCAGAGGAAATTTCAGGTAATTGAAGAAGATCACTATGTAAATATAAATAAATCAAAATAATAATAAAAAAAACTAATATTAAATTACTTCAGAAATTGATCAAGTGTATGCATAAACTTTTCATAATCTTTTCCTCCAACTTCTTGACAATGTAATGCTATAAAATCAGATGGATGCTGACGTAAAAGCTAAAGAAAAGACAAAAGAAAAAAAAAACAAGAAATTATTTATTCGCGCTAAACTTTATATTAAATGTTTTGTTTTATATTTTAATCAAAACCTATGTCAACGAATAATAAAAATTTTAATCTATTTCAAACGGCTACAACACAAATAAAAAATCTTTTATCTAATGATGATAATATTAAAAATAAAACAAATGAATGTATTATTTCTAATAAACCATCAACTATAGATGATACAAGTGATTGTATGTTTAATAAAAATTTTGATGAATTATTTAAACGTGAATCTGATCTATATGAAGAAGATAAATTTCGTGTATGTTTTATTGATTGTTCTTGTGATTGTTTAGTATGTATTATGTTATTTTTTTATTCATTATTTCCTTATTTATCTAAATTATTTCTAGGCTAAAAAAGTAACACAAGGTAGAATGATACCAACAGAAAATTTTGAAATATTTGAAAAGCTATTAAAAAATTTTAAATCAAATAATTATAATGTTTTTTGTGATTGTCATTGTGGTGATAATCAACAACGTTCATTTTCATTTAATTATTCAGCTGGACAACAAAAACGAACAATATAATTTATATCTTATTTTTCTGTTTTCTTTTTCTCTTACTGATAACAATACCATTCTCTTTCCATTTATATCTGTTATCTCTGTCTGCTTTACTTACGTTTCCGAATTCGGTCAGCCATGTTGTTAATAGATCAGGCTACAAAAACAACAAAAAAAAACAACTGGAAATCAAATAAGAAAATTTTATTTTCATATACCTTTTCGAATATAGAACCTGTATTAGCTGTAATCAGCAAGAATCGAACATCTGATTGATTCGATGATAATGTATGTTCACCACTCATTATCATTTATCGATGTAAAATAAATGTTTTTTACATGGTGATGCTTGCGCTGTTATGATTATTGTTGTTTATCTGAAGACATCACCCAAATTACAAATTCTTCTTCATATTGTACATATATAAGACATCTGTGTTATATGGCCCTATCTATGAAAGCTGGATTATAGAAGTATAGAAAGATTAAGGAAAGGAATACAAGAAGGCAAGTGGAGATAATTAGTAGATTATATATAAAAAACAAAGATAGGAAGGGACCTACATATATGTACAGATTGCTTTAATAAATTGTTTGTAGAGGAAAAAAGATGGCAATAAAGAAGAAAAAAAAAAACTTCTGCTCGATTGCTAGTTTATGGAAAAATAGTAGTGATGATGATTTGATGATAGATATTTATCTAGAATTGGCGCCGTTGTTAGTGCTCTTTTCTGCTGTGCTCTACCTCAGTCATGCAGTAGATGGAAAACAAGCGAGTAAATGGAGAGAGAAAAGGAAGGAAAAAAAAAAGAGGAATAGACATTGTTGATGATAATACACATAGCCCTTATGCTCCTTTGACACATAACAACACCGTCTTGCAATCAACCGTTTTTCTCTTTTCTATTCTGTTTTCCCTACATCTTGTCAGGATAGGGAATGCGTATGTATATGTCTACGCAATTAAACTGTACTTATGCTTTTGACTTCCGTTTGAATGAATTTATGTATGATAGTATCTTCATTTTATTTTATTTTTTTTTAATTTTTAAGTGTATTCCATATGGTGATATTTATATGTCATTATTACAAAAAATCTACACACACACATAAAGACATTAATAATAAATGGTAAATACGAGTTTTGAGAAAAGGAAATCTATTTCAAACATTTTGCTGATAGATAGTAATATGTATGTCGATAAAACATTAAAAAAAAACCTATTATTACTACTGTTGATAGTAATCATAATAATAATAATAATATCTAATGGATTAAAGACAGAATATGTGAAAAAAATGATTAAGTAAAACCACCTGTTGTCATTATCATACAATATCAAGTTACTGCGTCTCAAAAAAAAAACGGCAACTAGAAAAATTATATGCTATGAAGAAGAAGAAAAAGAATAATAATTCTATATGTAACTAAAACAAATTGAGTTAGAACTAGGAATAATTTCGTCAATCAAACCTTTATAACACTTCAAATAACAAATAGTTGTTATTACTGATATACTAAGACATAAAAATGGCAGAAGCATTTATCATTTAGTTGAATTACTTTACCATAAGAAAACTCTTGAGAAGATACAATTCTTTTTCTCTTTCAAATGTGTGCATGTCTGGTAATGCTAAAATAGAGACGTAGGGTTTACTTCTACGACTGACTTCGAATAATGCCACACAACAACCAAACTATTGCTTGCATGCTGCTTTCTAATGCGCACACACACACACACACACACATACACACAGAAGATACCATTTTTCTTATTTCTCACCCGCTGTCCAACTAATACTTTTTTTTTATCAAACCTATCAAATATATAGCAGCACACGAACATATATATATATATATAACGATGAAAAACGGTCGTTGTTGCAGGCAAAATAATGCATGCAAGCAATGAGCAAACATGCACGTATGCATACACTTGCCCATCGGCGACTATAGATTAAGAAGGCCAAATATATAGAAAACAAAGGTCATGGATAAAAAAGATAAATGTCTTATATAAATAATTTTCTTTTCTCAAAAAGTCACTTACCTATTTGTACGTAAAATGATAATCATACGTTGAAATTTAATCTTCATCGTTTTTCTTTTTCTTTTCTAAAATAAATAAAAAAACAAAACAAAGACACAAAATGATTGATTATTTTGCTTTCTTTTTTCTTCATTTCATTCACAAACGATTTATCGATTATATATGTGTGTATATGTATATATATATATATATATAAAAATGAAGTTAATTAAAAACAAACATAAAATATAAGAAAAACAAAAACGGAATTAATCTGAAAGACATGTTAAACACCCGCAGTTTCGTCATATTTATGCACTACTGTTATAGTAAAAAAAAAGAAAACAAGAAAAAAAAAGGAAGGAAAATTCTGCATATATATGTATACATATATCACTGTGCGGATATTTACGAAGCTGAATTAGTATTTTTGAAGGTATAGAAAAAAGAAGCGGAAGAGATTATTTATTATTAAATTATCACATGATATATGATTAAATAATTTGCGCATTTAACGATGATATCGATTAACGAGCAGTTTCAATTGACCTTTAGAGTCTGCTGTAACCATCACATAAATTGGTCCTGTATTATTATTCATTGTCGATAATCCTTCTAATGAATTCGATGCAGTATTTATATTAGTTATTCGTGTTCGATTAAAGCCTATATTTGATGTTATTGAAATAGGAGAATGATTTACTAATGACGAACTATCATTTGATGAATATAAATAATTCATTATGACAACTGGATTCGGTGCAAAGATTGCAGATGTTACCATTGTATTATGAACTAGAACAAAAAAAAAGAAATTGAATTTTAGTTTTGGATTTTTATTTGTTTGTTTTCGTCTTACCTCGAATACGTTCATATGCACGATCGAAATAACGTCGTTGTTTTCGTGTTAATTTAGCATTTATTAATGAATCATTACCATTACTACTTGGTTCAGTTCTCCATATATAAAACCAACAATCTTCACTACCACTAGAAATAAATACAATAAAATTAAGAATAATAAGAAAATAATATTGATATTATACCTAATGATATATCGATCATCATAACTAAATGATGCTCGAATTTGACTTGATTGATTTGAATAACCACGATATTTACGTTCAATTTCTTTTGTTCGAATATTATATAAACGTATTCGAGAATCATTTGATGTAATTAATACCTTTAGAAAAAAAAAAACAGAAATTCTTTTTGTTTTTTTTTGTTTATTTATTTCAATTAATCATTTATACTTTTGAATTATTTGAATTCATTGATTCAATGCCTGTAATTTTAGATGGTTTTCGACGTTTTCTTGATCGATTACTTCGACTTGCATCTTTATCACTAATATTTATTACAGTCTAAATGAAAAAACAAAAAACAAATGTTTCTATGAAAAATATTAATGAAAGATTCATACATCATATTGTAATGAATCTGTATAAAATAAAAATCGACCATCAAATGTTCCAACAGTTACTCTACGACCATCATCACAAAAATTCACAGCTGTTATTAAATTCGCTTCGGCTGCAGTTATTTGAGCTGATACTTGAGCTGGTATTAATGTCCAATGAACTACACGTTTATCAGGAATATTCCATACACGTACATGTCTAAAAAAATATTTTATTTAAAGATTATATTTTGAGGATAATTCTTCATCCACTTTTTTTCGGAAATTTAAGATAACTTTGAAAGCTTCAAGACAGATCAATATCGATGAGTAGAATAAAGATTGTTGTAGATACAAAACTCACAGATGTTTTTCTGTAGAAGATATTGATGCCGAAAGAAAAAAAAAAGCAAAGCCACCCGCCACTTTTTTAGCCACAAACATCTGATAGAGCTGGAAGTTCTATTACAAGTGCAAGACACTATTTACAACAACTTTATTTGATCTTTTTCTGTTCGAATAAAAACATCAAATTCATAAGAATACCTTCAAAAATGTACGTTTTTTTTTTTGATGAAAACTTTTTCTAATGAGGAAAATCCTCAATTTGGAAATTTTCATAGAAACTGAACTCACCGAGAATAGTTTATTGTGAAAGTTTCAGATAATATTCCTTGCTCTTTTTCTAAGATAAACTATGACAAAAGCTTGTCGTTTACACTGCTCTTATACACCCGTAGATTTGCTGTTCTTATTTCAGGAAATGAGAAAATCAAGAGCTCATCAAGTTAGTACTTGAATCGATTGCCTGCGGCTCTTAAATGTTTCTGTTAGATAGGCTCGAATTCGATGAGCTTTAATAGCCTAAGAAATATATAGGATGTGCTCGTCACCGCATACAAAAAATCGGAAAAAAAGTATCTCGTATCATCTAAACGATTATTCAATTCCGATTAGAAAATTTCATTGAGAATATCACAGTATCATTCGATCGAGTTCGGGCTCTACTGAAAAGTTCCATAGTAAACTATTCTGATTAATATCTATCTCTGTGTAAAGTTTTAATTGGAAATTTGAAAACGAATTTTCTGAATCAGACCTGTTTTTTGAGTATTCGTAAGTATTTTTAAAAAAACTAAGGATACATCTGATTCTGAAATAAAAAGAAAAGATAAGCAAATTTAAACACTTTCTGGTTTGTGTAGTAAAAAGTTTCAGCTTTATCAGAAACTCATTTTCTAAGAAAAACAAAACAATGTAAATATTTTGATGTTGCTCCACGAAAATGTCATCTATCGACTTTTATAGACGTACATAAATTTTTGCAATATGTCTTATATATATATAGAATACTTCAAAGTGTATACGAAAAAATCTAAAATATTTCCGATTGGAAAAACGAAAATCCTTGAGTTTTTATTTGCATTTTCTTAAAAAAATATTTTTATTTGTTCTGTTACCTAGATATCAAAGCAATAGAGAATCACAAAAAAAAATGAAACGAGAACGCCATATGTCAATAGTTTATTTTTTATTTTTATGAGAACGTTATTTTTTTTTTATTGGTATAGACTTAGTTAAAATCTACTGAAAAGAAAAATACTTAATCATGCACGTTGTTCTTCGACGTCTATATCTCAAAAGCCTTACACAAACTTGTAGCTATGTTTAATTTGAATAAATAATCACAAAATAAAAGAAATAGAAAATCTTGAGAAAAAAAAACCAATTATAAGAATTCTACCAATTTAGAATGCATCGAAATGAAATTATGATCTTTGAAAAGAAAAATTTGTTCAGAATTAGAGAGCAAATCATTTTTAAAAGATTACAAAAAAAAATCAGTAAGATTTGTACAATAAACGCTTTTTTTGTTAAACACCAATGAACGCTAAACTGTAATTTATATTAGTCTCACTAACAATTTACTTTATTCAAGATCAGTTGATTTAATTATAATTTTCGTTTACATTGTTCACTGTAAGCGGACTCCAACCTTTCCTGACTCAAAACCAGTATTTCCTACAAGAAAGTATTTGAGAATTTCAATTCTAGACCAAATTTTATTCAACTCATCGAGATTTTTCTGTTCTGAAAGATTCAAAGTTTTCTGATGAGTCGTTTTCAAAAGAATTCAAAAAAAAAGGAAGTCCCTTTACATACCGAAATACGAAAGCAAAGGAACTTTTCCAACTAAAAGCTGTTATCCCATTGAAGTCACATGAAAAATCAACCTTCGAATTTCGACTTGAAATTTTGCATGAACAAGTCTCGGTGAGATTAGTTCATGAGACAAGTTATAATTTTTCTATTATTTTCTTTCTGAAGATGTTAATATTTCTTGAAAGAAGATTCATGCGAGTTCGACTAACAGCTTTTTCTATTAATCGTTTAAAGTAATAGAGAAGAGGAAATGCTGTTCTGAATTTTATTTGCTTGTTGTTAAATAATTAATTTTATTATCGTCTTCTTCTAGTTAAATTCAATCAAACGTTTTGTTCACACAATCTGTATTAACATTATTCTCTTTGTAACATTTTTGAAAAGTTAAACCGTTAGTCAAATATGAAGATTACAATACCCATCCACTCATTCCCCTTTTCTTTTTTGTTTTTATCTCCCGAACAGATCGAAGTCTAGTTTACTCTGTTCTCATACACACTTCCTACATATTGAATCATTGCACTCCCGCTACTACATCTCTATCAAGTTTTATATAACCTGAAAAGCAGCCGTGTCAAATGATATCATATCGACGCAAGTCAATATATTATATAAGTTGTATGGTGACTTAACGACCTGGCACCACGGCTGTTACGGTTTATAGTCTTCATTTCTTTCAGCATAATTTTTTCTCTAGACTGGACAATTATCTTCAAATCTAGATCTTCGATAACATTAAAAGTATTTGAACTTTTATTTATGTAGTTTTTTAATTGGTAGAAAAATACACATGCCCAACTCGCCACATATTAAGAATTAAAAGTTTTCTTTTTATAGGAGAAGATCAATATGAATACATGAACAAAATTTGCTTTTAAATATGAGAGAATTTTGAATATCTCAATATTTTAATACATTTTTTTTTATATTCGATTTTTTAAAATAAACGAAAATATCATATATAATTTCTTACCCATCTAAACTTGCCGATACGAAATATCGATCATCTCGTGGATGAAAAGCAATTGCCGAAACAAAATCAACATGAAGAAAATAACATAAACATTCTAAACGAGTTAAATGCCATAATCGAACAGTTTTATCCATAGATGATGAAAGAAGAAATAAAGATTTTGACCAAGCAACATCAAGTACAGGTGCTTGATGACCAATAAGTTCAGCAAATGGTTTAGTATAAAGTGGAACTTGATTTTCATTAAGACCAAGTTTAGCATTATTTGTTGGTGTTATAATTTCTGATGATATATTATGATGAAATTCATAAAATCTATTTCGTAATAATTCATTTTGTTGTGTTGATGGATTTGATGTTAAATGAGAAAAATCATCAAAATGTTGTCGAGCTGATTTTAATATCCAAATTTTAAGTAAACTATCTTGACCACCTGTTGCAAGAAGATAACCATCAGGTGAAAATCTATATTTAATTTAATAAAAAAGAAAAAAAGAAAATAAAATTTTGTCTATTTATTTTCATGGAATTTTCTATTAATTACTTCATACACCAAATAGGTCCATTATGAGCATCAACAATTGTTTGTAATAATTGTGTTTTATCAAATTGTGTTGGTTCTTTTAAATATCTTGATGCTTTATATGTTAAATCACCATTTGAACCATCATTAATTAATGATTTTTCAGTGTCATCTTCTTCATCATCAATATCACCAGGATTATTATTAGTATTATTATTATCATCTGTTGTTTTAGGTTTCTTTTTACGTAAAATATTTTTTACAACTAAATTTTTTAATTGTTTTCTTATTGATAATGATGAATGTGTATTTGATGTTAAAGATTTATCAATAGCTGATGATGATGATCCAATTGTTATACGACTTGATTTTGTACTTGAAGTTTCTGATGATGTTGATTCATTATCATCATTATTATTTTCATTTTTTTTATGTTTTTTATGCTTTTTATGTTTTTTATGTGAAAGATTTAATTCTGATTTACTCAATGTATTATTATTATCCGATGAAGATTTTCTTATACTATTACGATGATTCAATACTGAATTATGACGTACTGTTATAATACTACCACTTCTATGAGTACGTTGCATTATTGTTCGTATCATTGGATTAGCATCACTTAATGGAATATATTTTCCACTATCAAGATCAAGTACAATTGGTTGTTGAAGAATTTCATCATCATCTAATTTTTGACTATTAGATAATTCACCAAATTTTGTTATACGATCAATCATATGTAAATCCATCATATCTGGTTCACTACTAGCAGATAATTTTTGTATATTTGAATAATGTCCACCTGTACCACGTGCTGATGCTGGAGGTAATGAACGATGTTCATAATATTCATTTGGTTTAATTGGAGAATTAATTAAAATTTCTTGTGATATTGAAGATACAGAATTCTATGAAAAGAATAAATAAATGCTTAAATTAAGATAAAAATTTAAGTATGATCTAGAATTCTGTCTGACGATTTCGAATCCGATGAGAAAAAGTTGAGATTATTTCAAATTTTTGAAATCATGTATTAGAACATGTCATAAAACTTTAAATTTCTTATTTCTAACAATTATATATCTTATCACCGAATACTTTTCGATTACCTATATTCATAAGTTTCGTTTCGGCTATCATTCCTTACTTTTACTCGTTCTAAATATGTATCACATATATGCGCAAGTCTCATCTCAGAATATTATCAAAACACAAATCACTGAATTTCGACGAAGAGCATTCTGATCATGAGCAATGAATATAAACATAATCGAAAGTTTTCGTTAGACTACCAACACATTCCATAGTCTGCATCAGTTTATATGACTTGAGGACAAGGTGAAAAAAAGTATTCTGTGACGATCTCTGTTGAGATGCACTAACGACTTTGCAAGAAAAAATGACTATTTTCTTTTTTTGCAACGCAAAATGACTCTTCATCGCAATTTTGCTATTTTTTAGTAGATTAAACGAAGCTTTTCATTCTTCTAGAGTAGAGATGATCTTCAAATATGAATACACTACCAATGCATTTAAATACATGGAAAAAATAGTCAAATATTTTGTCTAGAAACTTTCGATCCATCCATTATAAATAGAACTACTAATTGAAGAATTCTAGAATTTTTTTTTTAAGTGAGTAACTTTTCAGATTTTTGAATGTTTCTGTCGACAAGAAGAATTTATTTGAAAAATAAAATCAATTTTCTAACCTTCTTTTGACATTTGATTTGTTCATTATCAATATGATCTTTAAGAATAACTCGTTCTGATGATAAATCTTGAACATTTAATACTTGTTTTTCTACTCCTAATGATGATGATGATAATATTGAAGGCGATTCAGATAAATTTTTGACTCTAACATTTTGATTGTTTTGACTATCTTGAGAACGCAATCGTTGAAGTTTATCACGTCTTTCAATATCTTGCAATTGTTTATCAGTTAATGAAATCTTATAAAAATGTTCCTAATAAAAACAAAACATTCAAAACAAAAACAAAATATTGTATTATATTAACAAACATACAGGGTTTTTTAATGATTCATCTATTGATGATACTCTCCATCGAGGTTCTCTTTGAAGAGGATGACTAACATCAAAACAAAATATTACGATCATAAATTCCTAATAAATACTTACTTTTCTATTTCAACAATTGGTAAAGTACTATTGGCATCATAAAAAACTGAATCACCGTCAATACCACTCGAACTACTATCATCACTATCACTAGATGAAGCCATGGATATTATGCATCTAAAAATTATAAATTTTATATACATATATATTTCTGTTAATATTAAAAAAAAAGAAATGATTATGAAGAATTTAAATAAATTAAATAATTTATTTCATAATCATATTTGTAAAATGATATAGAACGAACAAAATGACATTTTTCTTTTTGTTTGCAATAAGACGACCATCGAATACTTAATTGACAGCAAAACATCAACATATACTCAATAATACAAATGAAATAATGAAAACACAAAAGAGCAAGATTGAGTAAAGTAAAGACACGGATCAATTAGGATTGGATATATCTCTACCTGCATGAGTTTATCAATAGATGTCACTAACGATCGATAAAGAAATAATTGCAAATATTTGATTGCAGGGCTGGCCCGACTGAGAATTGTTGGGGTAGTGACAACCTCCAATCTTCAAAATTTTCCATTTTTTCCCGGGAAAATCGAGGTATGTTCAGATTTCCAAAAAATTAAATTACTCAAATTTCTGAAATTTCCATCAGCTCGATAACTATATAGCAGCGCAAATCAAAAGTTCTTAGACATATTAGAAATTTCAGAAATTTCGGGAATTACATCATTTTAGGAAGTAACGCGCAATTCAGAACACAAATGCTTGAAATCTCCGAAACTTCCGAAATTTTCTTTTTCGGAAGTCTGAACACTGCTGGAAAATATATGATCAAAAACAAAAGCTTATTCTCGTTTGATCAATGTTTTATATTCATGGATTAGAAGAGATTGACTCAAGGTCAATGACATATTGTGTATAAAACTTAGATCTTAAATAGTCTACCTCCATTCATTATTTAGATTGGGATAAGATCTTGTGTTCGGATGCCCACGCTCTGGATTGAAAGCAGTTGTATATGAAAAAGAATGATCTTTTGTAGATATGTTCTATAGATTCGGTGATATCCGTAATATTTATTACAAAACAGAAGCTCGTGATAAATGGTAAACCTCATAACTAATGTCTATCAATTAATCTAACTACAGGGAGTAAAACAATTATTCAATAAGATTTGTTTTGAATTTTTTTTTCGCTAATTTAAGTGCTAGAAAGAGTCTAACTAGTGATTCGAGGAGAGCAAAATTCTCTCCAATAAAAATATAAGGAAGTTTTAAAAAAGTATTTGACTCTCATATGTTTGTTTAGCTTACACAGAATAATAGAGCAAACAATTCTCTCTAAAAATCGAGACGTCTCTTCGAGTTCACTATGACATTTTTGTAGCTGAAACATAAATATACTACGGAAGCGCTTAAGCTACATTCTATAGAAAAATAACTTTTGAACTTTCAATCGAATATTGTATCTCAGCTGAAAAATGTCATAGAGAACTCGGAAAAAGAAGAATTCGTTTTGAATCAAATGTAAGAAGGATAGTTGGATTGTGATATTTTCAAACATCTCTTATCGATGAATTATTAAGAATTTACTACAAAACGTTCAATTCTTGTCATACAATAAGTTAGAAAATTGTAGAACTGATGAAAGAACAAACAGTATCAGTAAAAAAAAAAGAAAAACTTGCCAGTGCAGCTCCTTCGGGATTGAAATGTGGAGTTCATATTTGTTCTTTTGCTTCATTATATTAACACAAAACACGTTAGGTGAAAAATCTCTCGTAGACTATAGTTGTGTTTCAAGAATAATCGATCGTCAGAGAAGCAAACGCGATCTGTGTTATTTATATCTACACTTCGAATAGAAATTTTTTTTCTTTTCTTTAGTAACGTTCTTTTCTTTTGTTTGACTTGTTGTTATTCATTCGTTATTTTTGCTTTTTCGTATTGCGTTTTTTCTTAATTTAACATTATTATTATTATTCTAACCATTGATTGAACTGACAAATAAGCTTGTGTTGTACATAATAATTTGTATCTACAGCAAGTCTCAACATACTATTATATATTTCGATAAGCTCACAAACACAAACATTAATTATTTTCCAAAGTTATAACTTCATCAAGTCATGCTTTTTATGTTTATCATATAATCACTGTGACAAATCAATGTATCATTATCTATCATCCTTGACGTCTTAAATAGAAATTTTTATTTACGCAAATATTTAGAAAATTAACAAGCGTAATCAAATCATTCAGATGCTCAAGTAACACTCTAAGAAGTTCGACACTTGTTAACCTCAGTTGTTAAGGTTTGTAATGGAGAGGAGAACCATAACAATGATATTTATCAAAATGAAGAATTACAATAAGAAGTATTGAGTTTTTATATTCAGTATTTTACTTCTATTAATTTCATACATAAATATATATGAAACTAACTTTTCATTTTTTATAATTTAAAACTAGTTGTATCCTGAGAGAACTTCTGGATAACGTATGATTTATTCTACATTGTTTTCTTTTTACATAACTAAGCAATTAGACTATAGTAAATTGTATGATCGATATACAATCGAATAATTTACTTAAAGTTAAACCGGTCAAATAATTAGCATCAATTGTTAGACTAATCAAGAAACTGTTTATGTTTTTTTTAGTTATAATAACCTTAGGATATATAATAATGATAATTTCTATTTACTTTTGTTTTCATGTCAATATGATTAATCGATTAACCTCAATATAATCAAAGCAAAATATATTGCATGCAACAGCTGACTGCTTTTGTATGTATGCTGAGTAAAATATAGTATTTTTTCATGATATAGTAAGGACAAAAATTATAACACAAAACAAAAAAGAAAAACAAAAGTTTAATTGTGTTCTATATTACATATTTTTTGTCTAAAATGTACTATTAAACATTGTTTACAAATGATTCCTTGACGACATTATTTTGTTCTTTTTCTATCTAAGATTAGTTGCATCTAGATGCATCCGTTAATATGAAAAAACATATTACAATATAAAAATTAAAACATAATATAATGAAAGAACTTTCTCAGTTATTATCTTCTAAGTTATTAGTCGTTACGAAGACATATTTATGGAGTGTTTAGAAAGGATTAAAGCTTAAGTTAAATTAAGCATACATACCACAACACTTATGAAGCTCACATCGATGCAAATCAGCAATTTTTCAAAAAAAAAACCTTGAAAAGTTTATAATAGAAAAAAAAAAGTAGACAAACCTGGTATTGTTTGGCAAAATGCGTCAAAATGAAGTGTTTTGACATGTCACAACATTTTACTAGTATTCATGAATAATAATAATGTTTGTTCGTAGCCATAGAAGAATTGATTTGAATCAACAAAAATACTTGATGAGAATTATTTACAAGGTCGAGTTAAAAATTATAAAAGCTTTCATATTAATGATGTAGAGGGCAGTAATAATCGAGAGAATTCATTCTTGTTTTTATTTGAACGAAGTCGTTGTTCATCTCAATGAGTTTATAGTTGAAAATAATGTGAAAATCAAGGTCGAATTTTCTTTCTACGGCCTTGTCGTAGTATAATACGTTCATTTTTAAATACATCATATATAGCGAGAAAGTATGAAAGGCACAGGATCTTATAGTTTATTTGCTTTGAACAATGAATACGGTTAAGAAGCATAAAATTGCATCGGAAAAAAAACCGGTCCTTTTCTTTTTTCTATAATCTACAGTGCGAGCTAAACGGATTTCTTTTCTTATTTGTTTTGAATTAAGATGAAAACTATTTTGTCTAAGAAAAGTTGGAACCGAACATCCGTTTTTTTGCTTTAATTCTATTTTTTTTTGTGTCTCGCTCGTTTTCTTATTTGTTTATTTATCAATATTGAGATGATTTTCTTAACTGAATGTATGTGTTTCATTTGAATAAAGCATATATTTATAACATCATTATTTCACATATTCCTTCTCAGATCAATGTGTACTTCAATTAGTAATTACAGTAGAGAGCTTCGAGTCCAGGTCTAGTAGACAAAATCGTGGATCTATAGCTTCCTACGGGTAATTTTATCGATTAGTATTAAAAAATATTTTTTGAAGATGCATAAAACTGATTGATACTTATTTGAGCATTGGAAACTGTCATTTTTCTTTATTTTCACATCTACAATTATGTTTAGTTAGGAAATTAGTGTCAGAAGATGAGTTATATCTTTACATTGATTACATAGAATGTCTTCTTACTTGATCTTGTTTCTTCTATAGACACAACTAAGACTATTCCATACAACTGAAGATTTTGATGCGATTGTTGGTTTGATGAGTTTCAATGACAAATTTCAACTAAGCGAAAACTTTTATCTTATTAAGCATCTGCTGATGGAGAAGTAAAGAACAATAAATAACTGTACGTTGATTTTTTTTTGAGAGTAGCTAATGAATAGCTAAAATCTTGATCCTTCACTTATTCATGCAGATAGAAGGTGTTAGATATTGGTAAAAAAACCCTCAGGTCTGCACCTGGTCGAATCTATCAAAAATATATCGCTGTGGCTCTCTAAATCATAGGCTTCTGATTGATTGTCTCAATTTTGATCGAAAGTAAAAATTTGGAAAACTGAAGTGAAGACTTTTGAATATTTTTTCGTTCAGGAAATTAATAAACTAAACAGTTGAATTCGAATCAACTGTTTATTATTGAAAAAGAAAGAATGAAAAGACAAACAAAAAATACTTTGAACTATTAGTTTATCGACCTTAAATAATGTTCTTATTGTACAATCATAATTTATTATTATTTTGTTACAATAAAAGACAAACCGTTGAGAAAATCAGATGCTGTAATGAGATAATTATTATATTGATTATACAATGTGTTTATTTGATTTTTTAATGTTGTTATTCGTTTGTTTTCTTGCTTTGATGCATCAAAGGACTATTCAAGTGTAATACTCTGTAGATGTTTCTTCTTCTACTTTTATGAATTGATCAAATCACATACGTTTGGGTGATTTCGGTAAATACAAGAATTTATTGTATTATGATAATCTGCAATCAAGGTGTGGGTATGTCTTCTTTTCAGCTACATACTCTAAAAATCAATATTGATCGTGCATTTATTTTCGACTTTACTGAATGAAATTTAACGTGATTAGAATAATTCTAGAAACTTCGAGAACGTTCTAGAATCTTCCAGAGGTATATAGTACCTTGTCGAATTTTCCGGAATATTCTAGAACTTTCTAGAACCTTCTAGAATAATTCTCAAGATCTTTCGGAAAAATTTTAGAGCACTCGTAAAAGGCGTCTAATACCAGTTCAAAAGTCAATCGTTAAAAGGTAAGAGTTAAGATTAAAGAAAGACCAGTCGTGCAATTTGCACGGGAACTAGTTAGTATACTATGAGACGTAGTATATTTCATACTTTCTCGCTATATAAAATTTACAGTTGAGGCTGAGTTTGTTAGAACAGCGTTTTTTTTTGATTTTTTTCGACAAAATCAAGTATCTAATTCAAATAGTAGTTTGATTTCTATTATTATATTTATTAAAGGTTAGTTTCCATTTAAATTAAGCATCAATCACAAAAATAAATTAATAGAAAGATAAAATTATACTGTCTTTTTTTTTCCTAATATTTCGAAAATGACGGTTTTGCATGTTTTAATTGATAGTCATCATTTTGAATATGTGTTAGAAACTCAATTACAAGACAATACAACATCAAAGAACATACTATCATATTATTTAGAAAAACCAATAATAAATAAATTGTTGAAGAGAGATTTATGTTTACTTGTTCGATAAACTTTTGAAATCTTCTATATTCAATAGAGAAAAATTATAATTTCAAAAAATATTCTTTATTAGTTATCAAATAGAATTTTCTAGACTTTATTGTTTGTTAAACTTATACCTAGACTTGATAATGAAGAAGAAAAACAAGAATATCATAAAAATTAGTTCATTAAAATGATACTATATCGTAATATTTTAAAGAATGTTTGATTTATAGTTGTGTTAAATATTCTTGAATTGCTTTTGAATCACGTTGAATTACTTTAACACGCATATGTATTGTTTCAATCACTTGTTTTACTGCTCGTGTTACAACTGGTGTATTAACTGAATCAAAAAATAATTTAATTTCATTTGCTTTTTTTTCATCAGCAAAATCTGATAAACAATACTAAATAAAATTAATCATCAATTAAAATAAATCAATAAAAAAAAAAGTTAAATTTTAGATTTACTTCAACAAATGAAATAAGAAAACTACTTTTTTCTCCAAAACGTTCCACAAGTTTCATCCATTTCTCTTGTAAAAATTTCCAAACTATATCTCGACCAATACAACTTGATGTACAACCAACAAGACCAGAAGCTGAATCTTGCATTCGAACATTATCCTATATAAAAAGATATTAACACAATCCCTACGAGATTCAAAATGTAAAACACAATGTTTGATTTTATCTATTTTAGGACATATTTCTTCATCATTCTCTTTTCTTTCATGTTACCGAAATGCAACGAAGAAGTAGTTCATATATTATAACAAGAAGTTATTCATATATGGCCTGTGACTAGAATCCTATGGGACAGTTCTCGACTCTGAAAAATCGTGTTTGTCTCATTCTATGGAATATTCACCATTGTTCCGAAAATATTCGATACGGGACATTCAGAATCATGATATTTTGAAAACTAAATGGTTCGGAACTCGAAAAAAATTTGTCCCACAAAGACTATTAGAACGACATCTTTGCTTCTTTAGGCTAATATGACAAATAGGATTCGGAGTTACTCAACAACTCTCAAGACAGGATAGATGGGATTCGGGTAACAAACAAATTTTGTGCCACAGAACTCTATCTGTGATGCAGGGAGTCCAAGGATGTTGCCAAAGTGTCTGTCTGTCATATTCTGTTGAAAGGGGAAGGGGGAGGTGAGCTCAAGTTTTGACTCCTTTTTGATTGTGTTTCACAATAATCTATGGGACATTATCTTATATAAACACGAGATATAAATAATCTAGAGAAAAGTTTTGAAAATTAATCATACACTTTCAAATATAAATTGTAAAGTATTTTTAATTATATTAGGATTTAATGATTGACCCATTGAACGAAGTAATCGAACTTTTTCTTCAGTCATATCAGCTGCTTTATATAATTTTCGTATTTCTTCTTGAGTATTTTCATCTCCATAACGTGAAACAATAACATAAACAGCTCCACGAATATTTGGATCAATTAAATCTCCATTAATATGACATTGAAAACGTTTTTTAGCTTCATCTATAATTGCTTGATCACCTGATTTACCCATAATACTTAAAACCATTGGACGTAACATAGCTACAAGTGGATTTTCATTTTCTTTTGCATCCCAACCAAGTTCTTTTTGTATTGTTGAAAAAAGATTTAAACGATATTTTTTAAATTGATCAAAATAATCTGTATATTCCATTAATGATGATAAATCAGCAATTCTTGATGCTAAAAAACAAAAACAAAAAAAGAACGAATTAATCTTTTTTTTTTTTTTATTATTTTCTTATTATTTTACCAATTGATTTCCAAACAGTAAAATTATCTTCATCTTTATATGATAATAATAATTTAAGATAATCAACAAATGATTGATGACCAGCATTACATAGAGCAGCAACATCATCTTGAATCATAAGCCGATCTTGTGGACTAAGTGTTTTATTAGCTATAGGTTCATTTAAATGTGCTAATTCTTTTGATGAATATTTAACACGATAAAGACCAATTGAATTATAATTTAATTTAATCCAATCATTTTCAGATATATTATCTAATGTTATTGTTATTTCAGGTTGATCCATTAAAATTTGTTTTGCAATTACTTTTGGATTTGATTTTGTAAAAATAGTTATAGGAATTTTCCATTGAAGATTTTCATCATCAGCACTACCATCAGCAATAAAACGTTCTTGTTGTAATTTGACAATACGTGTTTGATTTGATTGTTGTTCTTCAACTACAGTTACAAGTGGATAACCCTAGATAATAAAATTTAAAAAAAAATAATGGGTTTTATTTGTACAATATAATAATCTAGTAACTTTTTTTTCCTCAAATTGATCGAAATCTTGCGCATCATTTACCATGGAATATTTTCAAGTGAAATACGTCTAATGAATTTAGATTTTGCCTGTGAATGGGACTTGATGAGACTAATGGAATGTTAAAATGATTCATGTCTGCGATTTATTCATGTGGAATTATGATCGTTTTATTGAATTTTCGTTTTTGGACTATGGTATTGATATAAGATCGTCTTCTAAACTATTAGCCTGAAATTTGGTTTATAGATAGAGCTCGAAGTTATGAAGATGTCTTGAAAATTTCAGCTAAAACAGTTCAGAAGATGATCTTTTTATAGATGTCATAATCAAAAAAGGAAAATCTAGTAAACGGATCACAATCCTATATGAACATAAATTCTTTTAGATTTCTATTAGTCTTATCAAATCGTATTCACAGGTAAGATCTAAGTTTCATCGACGAATTACACTTGAAAACATATTATCATTAGTGTTTAAGTTTATTTTTTAGTTGTGAAAACATAGACATAACTGTTAACCGTAGCATCAATCAAATTTCTGAAATTACGATTCGCTAAATAGCGAATATTTTATGTTAGGATAACTGTTATGTCTAATTCTATCAAACGCAAATTTATTAAAATTGCAATTCGAATTAGAATGTAATCGAGACAAAACATTTGTAATTAACTATTTTCTATTATGTATCTATGCTTGAACTATATATAAGCAAACATATGAAATGAAGCTTAATATGATTATCATAAAAATTCAAACTCAAGAAAGAAAATACTAAAATTAAACAATTCTTTAAATTTCACCTAGCAACGTCAACAACTAAATGTCACATTTAGTTTATTGCTTAACATTAAACAAGAAATCTAACAATTCAAAACTTTCTCTAAAATAAAATAACAAAAAGAAAAAAATTTTCTACCAACCATTTGAAGCGTCCATGATGACATAACTTCATTAACTGGTTTATTAGATGCTTTAGATAAATGTGACCAAAGATTTACAGTAATAGTATTTTTATAACTATATTCTTTTAAATAATTATGAAGACCTTTTCGAAAAGCATCATCACCAATATAATCATGTAACATACGAATTACTGAAGAACCTTTTGAATATGAAATATCATCAAATATTTCATCAATTTCAGCAGGATGTCCTAAACAAAAACATTATGCATTGAAAAAAACAATTATATCAAAAAAAAAAAAAAAAATATTTACCAATAGGTACTTCAATTGGATGTGATGATTTTAATGCATCAGGTACAAGAAATCGTGCAAAAGTATCAGCAACAAATTGTGTCCAAATATCAAATTCTGGATAACATTTATCAACAGCTAAATATTCAATCCATGATGCAAATCCTTCATTAAGCCCTAAAATAAATAAAGCAAAAAATAACAGATTGTTCTCATTTCGTGGTTTTTTTTTCTTACATAAATCAGTCCACCAATCCATTGTCTATATATGACAAAAAAAGAAAGAATCATACTTATTATTTATTTTCAATACACCAAAAATTACATACAACTAAATTTCCAAACCATTGATGTGCAAGTTCATGAGCAACAACAATAGCAACACGTTGACGTGAATCCATTGATGAAAATTTTGGATCAATTAAAAGAGCTGTTTCCCGATAAGTAACTAACTATATAACAAATAAACAATGACGAATTCATTTGAGATTGAAACATTAACTTACACCCCAATTTTCCATAGCTCTATAAAAGCAAAACAAAAAAAAACATGAATGAAATAAAATTACTTCTATCGATGTTTTTTCTTTTTTTTTTGAAATCTTTTCTTACCCCATAGCAAAATCTGATATAGCAATTTGATCTGCTTTAGCTATTGGATATTTAATATTAAAATATTCAGCATAAAATGGTAAAACTTTTGAAGCAATATCTAATGCAAAATGACCATGTTCTTTTCTGCCTACTGGTGTATAAACTTTCATACTAACACCATTAGAATCTTTAGTTTCAACATAATCATATTCACCAACAACATAAGCAACTAAATATGTACTCATTATTGGTGTTCGATCAAATTTTGTTATTTTCCATTCTTTATCATCAGGATATTCATTTTCAGATTTTATTGGCTAGAATAAGAGGAAAAAAAAAGTATTGAATTGAAAATTTTTAGAATATAAATCTAAAATAATTCTATAAATTAATTTCTAATGAAATGATGAAAACAAAAAAGATATTAGCGCAATTTCTACCAGATTAAAATATGAAACACGATGTAGATGCTCTTACTAATCATAAGAAGATTTGTTGTATTCTGCCGATTTTTTGGAGAATGAGGATGAAAGGGTTGTGTACCTTATCACCGAATGACTTTCGATCATCTATGTTCATGAGTTTCGTTTTCGCGATCATTCTTTCTAAATATTTATCACATATATATGTATATATATATATACAGATACTGTTGATATGCTCGCAGAATGTCATCGAAATGCATATCACCGAGTTTTGACGAAGAGCATACTGACCAATAAAGATGAGGACCAGAACTTGTCGAGTTTGTGTTCGAAAGTTTTGGATTCGATGGGCTCTAGGAAGGGTGGTGCTAAGATTAGGAGTGATCGTAAGGGTAGTGGAATGAATAATCGCTGCCACCGTAACTGGGAAAATAAAAGATATCAACGAAATAACATTTCTCATTCTTTTTTATCTCTGATGATTTTCAAGCATGTATACAAATCACAGATTTCTGATTTTTGTAAAAAAAACATGAGAAACCAGAGATTTAATAGGACGGTCTGCATATCGGGAATTTTCATGTTTATAGCAACAGCTCACTCACATAAAGTATATTTTCCTTCGTAACAATTAATAATTGATCTTTGAAATATACAGATCTATTAAATTTGCTATGATCTTCTCAGACTTATGTTATAGAAGTTCAATTAAATATACAAACCATATTTGATATAGCTCGAAGATTTTTTGGTGTAATTAATGTAATATCAAATGTTGCTTTAAAATTTGGTTCATCCCAACATGGAAATGCTCGTCGACAATCGGCTGGCTATAAATTTAAAATAAAATAAAACAAAACAAAACATAAACGATAAATATTTTTTACTTCAAATTGTGTACTAGCACCATAACGAACTTCTTTTCCATCCGGTGTCGTATATTTATTTCGATAGAAACCTTGCATACGATCATTGATATCACCAATAAATTTCAAGGATAATTCACAATCACCTTTCTATTACACATATAAACAATAGAAATAATTTTATATAGAAAAATAAAATTAATATTTATATACTTCAAGTTGTCTATTAAAACTGATTTTAACACGTTCATTTTCTTTATCCATTTCGATTGTACCCGATAATTCATCTATTAAAAAAACAAATTCGATATTATTTTGAATTCAATAAATAAGAGAATAAAAATAAAAAGTGAATTTTACCTTTCGAATCTAATGTTATTTTTGCATGATCAATTTGTAATTCAACTGCATACAATATCACAGTATCAGTCGGTTGGTTAACCTAAGAAAAAATAAAAAATTTTTTTTTTGTTTTTTTATTGACATTAAGTTTTTTAAATCTAAATACAAACCTTTAAATGAATAGTCACATTTCCATTAAATTTAAATGTATCAAGAAATGGTTGAATTGTTAAATCATAATGTGTTGGTACAACTGTTAAGGGTAAACGTTCAAATAATTTCTTTTTATCTTGATCACTCATTGCTTTGATCGACTGATGATGAATGTAGGTAGTAGAAAATAAGATAAACGTAAAAAGTAGATTTTAAAGATTGAATAAAAATAGTATAATCATCAAATGAAAATTTATTATTATTATTTTTTTTTGTTTGGATTTATTATTTTTTTTTGTTTAAATAAATATGAAAATAGATAATTAATTTTTGAATTCTTTCAAAGCGACAAAATTATTATTTGTCTAGACTAGATGGTGCAAATAGACGACATAGTTCTAAAGAAACGACATAGAATTGCTAAGCAACAATAACAAGTAAAAATTCTACATGGCTTTCTCTAGATGGGTTTAAAATAAAGACCATTAACAACAACAAAAAAATTGTTTTCATATGATCAAATATTTAAAAATAAAATTGATTTTGTTTGGTTTTTGGTAGAAATAACATTTCTTGTAAAATGTCATCGGAGACTATTGGTGAACCAAGCCCATCAGTACCACAAAAACGTAATAACAATAATAATTCAGGTAAAAAGTCGTCTATAAATTTATACATTAAAAATAGAAAAATCCATTTTGTTTTTCAGATAGTGAATCTGATGTGAATAATGATCATTTAATTGGTAATGTACAACGTGTTGCTATTGTACCTCCAAATTATGAAGGAAAACCAAAGAAAGGACATTTAATTTTTGATGCTTCATTTGAATGTGGTATGTTTAATTATTATCGATATTTGAAAAATAATAAATCTTATAAATTTATTTTTATTTAAAATCAAATAAAAGGAAATTTGGGTCGAGTTGATTATGTTAATGATAATGAATATGATTTATTCATACGACCTGATACATGTTCTCCTCGATTTCGTTGTTGGTTTTTATTTACAGTTGAAAATGTTAAAGCAAATCAAGTTTGTATATATATATATATAATTGAATAAAATCTTCAGTTTAAAATTAACATGAAAAGATCTTCTTTAAAATCTTTCTTCTTGTTTTTTAATTAAAAGATTTTAAAGAAAAAGTTTCTGTGAAAGAAAATAAATTTTATATTGCTTTGATTAATTCTTAACAGAAATCAATCAGCAATACATTTGACGTAGATATCAAAGAAACTAAAAGAATAAGCATTATCGGTGAGTTTTTTTATTGTAAAAGTGATTAAACTCCGATAACACAAAAAAAAAATCGAAAGAATTCTGTAGTTAAGAATTTCTAATAGACAAATATAGATTGATTCCTTTATAGTTTTGTTGTGTTTATTGCATTTCTGAAAAATTAACGCTATAGTTTTTATTTTATTGATCTCATTTCTTCAGTCGAAAATTTGATAAATTTTGGAAAACAATCGAAGATGAATTTTTGTGCGTGACACTTATGAGATTATTCCTTAGTTAATTATTACCAGAGATGGAATCGGTTGGTGTTTTTCGGAACCGATCCGAACCGGTGCCATCTCTGTAATATATGGTCACAAAAAAGTTTCATTTCCGTGTTTTTGAATTAAGGGTATCGCTCAATCTTTTTTTTGAGCACCTCTGTTTCTACAGACAGAGCATTTAAAATTAGTAGATATGCGTTCGAAGAAAAAAATTTTAAAGAGAGTTTTATGAAGAAAACCCTAGTTTGCCATGAGATTGCACCATGATGCATTACAATCCTCATCGAATTTTGTCCGATTGGAGTGAACATTGTTTTGACGATACTTAAGATTATATCTCATAAATAGTTTTGAACTTTTTGAGAAATCTTACGTTCTGTTAGTTTTTTTTTGTGAGAAAAAAGCGTCAAGGTTCGGAGGTAAAATCAAAAACTTGTCTTCTAGAATCCTATGAATCCGGACATGGAGATTAGAAATGAAAGCGGTGATTCTATTTCTGGAGAATACTTTCAAATCTTTGTAGTAAAAATTTCAATCTGATTGTTTGTATCCTCTTCGAGAAGTAGAAATAGTCAAAAAAGTCGAGGAAATATCTTTAACAAGCAAAGATAAATAAAATGAAAATTATATTGTTGGATACAATAAGTAATGCTTCACTCAATAACAAATAAACTTTCTAAACTTTATAGAAATACAACAAACTGACCAAAACTAACGTAATCAATATGTATGTCTCGTATTAAAAATTTTCAAAATCATTATCTATCAATGTGATGTGCTATTTGAAAGATACTTAACATTGCACAGCACACTGTCTTTTCCAAAAATACACAAATATAAGTCTCGATATGGAAGGAAGTAGGTTGAACTAGCCATCCCTTCCCTCCAAATTTTATGTTGTGTTTGTCAAAATGTTGAGTCGTTGTTATCGGAACACTGTCTGCCAAATTTTAAAAATCAACTTTTCTCAATCAATTTCTGTCAGACAGACCAATCTGTTAAATTGTTAGCCCTTCTCAGTTGTAGAAACTATCGAAAGTCTTGCACACTAATGCAAAATGTGTCGCATATATGTGTTTCAAAACTAGCTTTCGCTACCTGTATCCAAAGTCTAGCCATTTCGAGTTCGTTTGTTCTCGAACAATGATGAATTGAGAAATATTTACAGTAAATATTCCAATTATCGGCAACAACGTTTTACTACATTAATTTTTATCATCTTTCGCCGTAATCTATCAGCCTGTTTTATGAATTTACGAACAATGGAGACTATATAATATATTTCATTGATTTTAGAATTAAAATAAACATTTAAATATAGACAAATAATTCTTTTTTCTTTTTATTCTTTAGAGGGTCATTTTTCATATTGTTAATTTTTCTAAAGTTAAATCATTATATCGGGATGGTATGACACCATTAGTTAAATCAACTAGTCGTAAACGATGGTAGATAATTATATTCTTTAGAAAACGAAAGAAACAAAGATAACCATTGTAATTTTACTAGGCAACGTTTACCAACAAGAACTGTATTTTATTATCGTTGTCCTGATCATCGAAAAAATTATGTTATGTCATTTACATTTTGTTTTGATCGTGAAGATGATATTTATCAATTTGCTTATTCATTTCCATATACATATACTAAACTTCAAAATTATCTTGATGATCTTGAACAACGTCAATTAGGTTTTGTACAACGTCGACCATTAGTTTATAGTGTGGTAAAATGAAATTTTCTTTACTAAAATTTCAATTATTTTAATTCCTTTTTTTTTTTTTCTTCTTTTTCTAGCAAAAACGACGACTTGATCTTGTTACTGTTGCTAGTCCATCATTATTAATAAAAGGAAAAAAGAAAAAAGTTGTTATTGTTACAGCTCGTGTACATCCTGGTGAAACTCCATCATCTTATGTATGTCAAGGTTTTATTGAATTTATAATAAGTGATCATCCTATAGCAAGATTGCTTCGAGATCATATTGTTTTTCACATTGTGCCTATGCTTAATCCAGATGGAGTTTTTCTTGGTAATCAAAGGTTAGTTTATTGAAAAGACATTTTTTTTTTGTTTTTGTTTTTCTTTAAGAAAACAAAAGAATTTGATATTGATTTAAAGATGTTCATTACTTGGTTTTGATCTTAATCGTGTTTGGCATGATCCATCACATTGGGCACATCCAGAAATATATGGAATTAAAACACATATAATGAAACTCAATGAAGATCCGGTTTGTAAAATATATTTATTAAAAATAAAAAAAAACAAAAAATCTATTTGAAATTTTTCAGGATTTTGAAGTTGATTTTTTTATTGATATTCATGCACATTCAACTATGATGAATGGTTTTATGTATGGAAATGTTTATGATGATGTAAATCGTTCTGAAAAACATACTGTTTTTCCACAATTATTATCTAATAATGCAGAAGATTTTTCAATAAATAATACAACATTTAATCGTGATGCATTTAAAGCTGGAACAGGAAGACGGTAGAAAAACAATGTCTTTTTATTTCTTTTTTTAAATACTATTGATTTTTTTTTATTTTAGAACACTTGGTGGTTGTTTACAAGAAAGTACACATTGTTATACATTAGAAGTTTCATTTTTTTCATATCAAACATCGATAAATTCACAAGCTATACCTTATACAGAAGACTTATGTAAGAAAAATATTTTCTTCATTGATACTTGAAAGAAAAATTCATAATAGCCTAAAAGAAGTCTACATATTATATTACACATATGTTTTATTGCTTTTTAAAACAAAAGAAAAAAACTTTTCAATACTTAATTGAATTTATGTTGAACACTTCTAATAAGAAGATTATTAAAGTGTAATACTATAAGGAAAAGGTTAATAACGATGCAAATGAAGGTTTAATCTTATAAATCTTTCTTTTTTTTTTTCATTTTTTTTCATGCCTTTGTAGATCAACAGCTCGGACGAAATTTAGCTCGAACATTTGTTGATTATTATAAGAGTATTAATTATATTTCGTGGTCGCCTAGTTGTAGTATCATGCCAAGATTGAAAGAAGATCGAATTAAATCTCGTCTTACACGACAATCGACTAGTATGCCGATTGTCAATCAAGATGAAGCGTAAGAGATTTAATTAGTTGATAGATACGCATATTAGTTTTTTTTTTGTTTATAGATTTCTCAATGGTGAAACATTCAATTTGAGTATAGACGGATTTATCTATCCACAAACTCACAATAACAATGACCCTGAATAATCGATCATTAATTATAAATATTGAACATGTTTTCTTTTTTAATTTTGTATTATCTCATATTTTGAATATTATCTACAAATGTAGGATGTTTTTATATTACATATTAGTATCAATTATTTTCATGTGTTGATCATTTAAAAAAATCTATAAGAATGAAAAGAAACGATTTAAACAAGCAATAGAGTTCAATCAAATATGCAGACTATACATTGAGTTCTCATCATTTCTTCTATTTCACCCACTTGTAATGTGTTGCTAGCCTCTTTCTTTCCGCCTCTCTCTCTCTCTCTCTCTCTCTCCTTTTTTTTTGGAAACAATCATTTCCATTGATTTCTACTTACATAGAAAAAGGAGAACGACGAGCAAGAAGATTCTTCTTTCTTCTCGCTCTATA